ATGATGAAATTCTGAAGCGTTCCCGAGTTTCATCAAAATGTCACTTTTGGTCTTTCAAGTCGAGGGAAGGATGTGCACTGGGCATGGGGGCGGCCTGAGTGCGCGTCAGAAAACGGATTTTGAGAACCACTGGACGGAGTTTGAAGATTTAGGGCTCATTCGAATGGACTTTTGATTTCAAAAACTTTTTGTCTAAGAGAATATCCTGTAAAGTCCATAGTTTTTGAGTAAATCGCGTTTAAAGACGCCAAAATGACCCATTTGGGACGGCATTTTTTGGGGTTTTCTTAAGGAGTATTTATATTTTTTGACCCAAATTTGGCAGAATGTCAATTTATAACAGCCCTCATCGACTGCAATTGTTAAAATTTAAAAATTTAAAAAATTGTAAAAAAAGGGAAATATGTTGAAATCTACGAAGTGTTGGTCTGAACCGAATGTGAGATTGAACAAACAGTTAAATTTCGTGGGGGGTTCAGTTCGAGTACTTTTTGACGTCGTGTGGCACTTTCGCCGCATTTTAACAAATCATGTTCAAATTATGCCTGGCTTTCTGCTTGCCACCGTCAGCTTGGCTGTGAAGCCTTTTAAGATAAACCCAGGGACACGGCCCCTCTTCAGCATTTCTTTTTCGTCTTTGAATAATAGACTATACTGCAGAAAATGTGAATTCACTGAAATATACTGCTCCCTTGAAATTTCTTTAACTAACTTATTTATAGTTGACACTAATGGGGTTATGTAGCTATTCAGAGCAAAATCGTGCTACTGTTTGTCTTTCATTCAGGGAACAAAACCTCATGGAACCCTTAAAAATGATATTTCAGAGGAGACCGTTATTTATTTTTAGCCGCTGGCACTCTTCAAAGTGAACATTTAACAATTTGACATTTGCAACGACATTTTATTCATTTCACACCGAAGTCTTGTTGTATCCTACATTGCTATTTTCCATACGCCACACTAACCACGTTGCTTTCCACACCACTTCCCCCACCACCACTTTGAGTGCGAATAGTCTCGAGACGCGACTTCGGTGTCGGTGTGGTGGGAGCCGCTCGTTTTTCATCGCCAACGAAACAATTTGATTACACCGCCCTGTCAAAGAGTTAGTCAGTTCCAGTTCCGAGTGGTCTCTTCGGTCATATGGCTGAATGACTGACTAAAGACACCCAAGTGGAACGCCCCCATCAACTTTTTCTGCTGGCTGCTACGTCACCAACGCGTCATCAACATTTGTAGATCACCTGGTCCTGCTTTAGCAGAGCTGTTGTCGTTGAAGACTTGTAGCGAATGCTCGGAATAGCTCTCCTTCATTGAACAATATGGATTTGATACGAGAAGTTGTCAGCACCCCATACGCATTTCCTGCGGGAATCGTCGCATTAGTGATAAGCTGTGCTATCCTAGTGTTTGTTTTCGGTTTCAAATCCGCCGAAGAACCACCTTTTGATCAACTTTCCTTTGCAAACGACGACCGGAAACCAGCTGGCAAGAAGCGCAAGCTGAAGGACAAGGTACATTATAAGAACTAATTCACCCCTTTTACCTTTAAATACTCTAATTCACCTTTGATTGTGAATGGTATGTGAGCTCCAGCCACTCAGATGTTGAGTCTTCTTCATCCTTATGTTCATCTCTAAGTGGGTTATTTTCTGCCCGGTTGGTGCTCCATATTTATTTGTCTGCCCAGTCAAATATATTATTCAGCCATTCTAAAAATAAATCGTCTAGTCCTTTGTTCACAACTACAGCCATGAATTATTGGCAACCCGTCATATATTTAAGACTCGACACCGATAATGACAAAACAGGCTGTTGCCTTTTCAGATATTTAGTTCTCTCATTCCTGAGGTACATTTAAAAAATGCACGAATGCAGAGAGATGGTTAATTTTGATTAATTAATGTTAGGCTTTATTGAAATTTTGGTTTAAGTGATTGACCCGAATGTATTACACCTACAACCTTTCCTTTTCCAGAAATCCCAATCAAATGGCCATGCTACATCAGTGAAAGATAAAACGACTAAACCCAGTGCTGAAGTTGAGTCTCCCAAGACCTCAAAGCAAACCCCCAAGCAACAACCCAAGGAAGTTCAAAAGGAACAGACCAAGAAGAAGGAACCTGCTCCCCAACAGCAGAAGGAAAAGGTAGCCTCTAATAAGAAGCCATCAACAACTGCTCCTAAACAGACTACCCCCAAGAAATCTACACAGGAAGCCCAGAAAAAAGCCAAAAAGCAAGAGAAGGTAGATGATGGTGATGGTAAGTAATTGGCACCTGCAGCATATCAGATTTTTTATAAGTGAAATGTGGCACTGTTGTATTCTCTATGTAATTTCAGGCTGGGAACAAGTCGGTAAGAAAAATAGGAAGGGTACACCTCCAGTTATTCAGGATGATAAAGGTATTTATTTTCTTTTGAGTTCCATTCATTAGATCATAACTTAATTTTTCTTCTCCATTATTGATAGTCTGTGTTTTTTATTTAGAGAAAAGTACGTCCACTTCTCCAACAAAAGAAAAGAAGGGAAAGAAAGCAGTTGAAGCTGAAAAGACAACACCAGCTGTTGAAGTGAAGGATTCCTCGCCTAAAGGAATTAAGGAAAAGGTAGTAGTTGAAGTAAAGGAGACATCTCCAAAGGTCTCCAAGGACAAGGCTCCCGCTCCAGTTGTAGAGAAGGCAGCAGCCGTCAAAGACATCCCCAATGACAGCCCTAAAAAGGCTCCCTTGACAAAAGACAACTCAAAAAGGTGATTAGACAGATCTATTGTTATTCATTTGAAACCTAACTGTCTCCTTTTGGTTCAAAAAAGTTGCATGTGTTCAATGTTTCCTAAAATTTCTATGTTCATAGCCCTGAAAAGAAAGCTGCTCCTGCTAAAGTTGTAGAACCAGAGCCTCAACCATCTGAGTTCAAGACAGAGGAGAAAAAAGAAAAGAAAAAGAAACCAGCAGAACCAGAGCCTCAACCTGAGTTCAAGGTAGAGGAGAAAAAGGAAAAGAAAAAGAAACCAGCAGAATCTGCTTCTTTCATTGAAAGTGAAAAGTCTGCTATTAAAGATGAAGGTACATTTACACTTCCTGTCTTTTTCAAAGACCCTCATTTTTGCACATTTACAATGCATTAATACTTCTCTATTTGTGCAGGCAAGGTTGCTGTACAGGATAACAAAGTGGATGGCGCAGTTTTTGATGAGCTTGGAGGTTTGTGAACTATATTAGAATGCAACATTGATTTAGCATGTGAAAAGTACTATGGCTTACTTTATTGATGGTTACAGATGTCTGGACTGAGAAAACCGCAAAGAAGGGAAAGAAAAAGGTGCGCAAGGAATAAATGGTTCTTGAAGAATTTTATCATCTTGCAAAATTGAGGGACTTTTTGTCCTCAATTTGAGTGGCTGTGCTCTGGAATACTTATTTTGGCAATATTGATCCAGGGTGCCCCCAAGCCATTTCAGGCCAAAAAACGCTGTGACTCCTGTGGTGCAATATGACTATATTGTTACTTTTATTTCTCACCCTCACCTTTTTTATTTATTGTTCTAAGAGTTTGTTGTTACGAGCAATGGTTGAACAACAGAGGGGCAACAGATTATGTTTATGTAACTTTCCGTGAAAATGGTGAGGTGGTGTGAGCGACTTCTTGAGATAAAGCATCTACAAACAAGTCATTGACCCATTTTTATTCTGGCCATTTGCTTCTAGCATGTTACTGAATTCTATAAATATGTGTGTTTTGTCAGCATATGATTGACTCCTATGTCACATATCTAAAGAAGTTTTTAAAAAATGAGTAATTTACTTGCCTAGTATATGGATCTCAAGTACATGAACATGAAAGTTAAAGTATAAGGCTGAGTTCACTAAGGATTTTTTTGTGTGTGTGCATGGGGTGTGTATTTTAGGAGCTTTTGGCTAATTAGAAGAAAATTATATTTATTGAATATTATCTTAAAATATGTAATGTGAAGAAGAGACATTAGTTATATATTTATTCTCTAGCCATAATTCGATTTCTCTCTGGGTGTATTTGTATTGCTGTAATCTTCAAAGCAGTGAGACGAGGACCACTCCTTTATTTCTTACTTGTGGATGCTCGGGTATTAAATTTTGTTAGGACTGTAACATAGAGGATATCTTCCTCCATCTCACCATCCCAATATCGCTTTCCTTGTGTTGGCATGTGAGTGTACATGTCTTTGGTCTTTCCTTTTGTTTTGTTTTGCTCAATTCATCAGGACCTTTGTTTCTGTTGTTAAGAGTAAGGAACTGTGATACTGTGTTATTGAAGTCCTCAATGCTGAAATTGTAATATTGTGCTTTGTTCATTTCTGACCTTTCAGCTTTAATAATGATAACCTTCCAAATATTCCAATCATATGGAGAGGCTCCCATTAAGACTGATTTCAATGGCCAATTTATTTTCTATAATGCTCTAAATTGTTATTATTACTAACTAAAGTGCTAACTGTTATCTGTGTTTCTTAGTGTGGCAATCCCTAGATTCAAGCATTTTTCTGAACATAGACCAGATCAAAAGATGTGAAAAATTACATGTTAAGGACTGAATCTTCGTTACTTATTTATTGTGGATGGGCCAATTCTAAGAACAGTACGCTTTCAAAAGTTTATTTTTTCTAAATTCATGGGCTGTATATTTGTTGAGCTTTTACGAAATTGCTTGCCTTCGATAATATTTATATTTCAATAGTTTTGGATGAGCTGGAGCTGGTACTCCTTGGTTGAAAATCTGTTTGTGTTGTTTCACTAGCCTGACAAAGATTCTTTGGGTGTTAACACAGCACTTTATTCTTACCCTATTTTGCTTTTGATCTTATTTTCAAACTGTTTTTTTTTTCTTTTTTCTTTTTTTGTCATGGTTAACTTGATAGATAATAGCTCTTGTAATAAAGTTTCATTTAATCTCATGAGTTTGGGCCAGATTTTTGCTATTGGTTTGTCAGTTGTGTGCTAAGCTTCACTAGATGATCAGTTACCTAGAAGCGATGTGTGTGATCTTCATTCATGCCCTTTAGTTTGTTGACCAAGGTTAGGAAAGCATTATACTTTCTCCTGTTTGGTAAAGCTCAAAAGCATTGTTGCTTGGTAGACAAGTTCATAAAACACTGTGGCAGCTTCATGATCACAGAAAGTAACCATACCATGTGGTACAAAGGGAAAAAAAATTGAAATTTTGAGGTGTGGTGTGTACTCATGGTCAGATGATAATTTGTCCTGTCAACTGCATAATTTCTTGTAATAAAGTGCTCCATTTTTTAACGTGTCATGTGGAAAATTTGGTTTAATAGTATCATTTAATAAGCTTTGGTAAAGTGATGAACAAATGCTCATACTCCCTCTTGCTAGAGTTTTTATTTTATGCTTGAGGCAGATTATATTATCTTATCAGCTAAGGTTGCTTATCATTATTGAGGATTCAAAGGGTGAAAATTTATTTTTGTGCTGTGCAATTTATGTACATATTGCAGTCTTAATGTAATGTGCTTAATCTTGAATGTTAGCAGTGTTCTTGTAAATAAATGAAGAAGCATGCCATTCCATAGCAGGTGTGAAGCGTACCTACTAATGCAATTTAGACTTGGTGCAAACTTCGTAGGTTTAAGGACAGTTATGTGCAATATATTTTTCCTGTTTTTTTTTTTTATTTATTGTTTTGTGAAAAAAGATTGCATATTTGCATAGGAGTATAAAGTGTGATCTGTAGAATTTTTCTTTTTCTCCTTTGCTTTAGTTGCAAACTTTAAGAACCTACTAAAATGTATTAAATGCACTCCAATATTGACACTTTAGAACTTTAGATATTGGTTTCATCAAAATGTATCCCATACTAAAAATTATTATTATGCCTTGAGTTTATTGGTAAGATGATTGCCTCTGCATAAGCAGTATTGTTTATAGAACTTTATTGAACCTGAAACTGGCAACATTCTGATAGATGTGTCAGATACTTTACTTTAGCTCTACAATCTGTGGAGAATATGTTAGGATCATTGCTCTCCTTTACATAACAAATACAAGAAATTTTGTGCTTGTCTTTTTGTTTAGTATGTGTGTTTTGGGTGTTCGGTTTTAACTTTTTGTGTGCAATCTGTTAAGTTTAGGTATAGAAATTCAAGTTTTCTTATGTTTGATTTGATTTTGCCTATCTTTCTTAACTCTCATTTTTATTTTTTTAATTTCTTGTAATTCCTACAATTTGAAGCTTTAATCTATGTTTCTAAACCCCTTTCTTTGAAAAATGTTATTTTTTTCTTACAATTGCTTTGTACAATTTGCGTATAACTGCCCTGACAGTTAATTCTATCTCAGTGTTATTGGTTATCTCAGCTATGTAACAGAAGAGTGAGCAACAATCCCTAATAGATTCATCACAGATGAAAAACATTGATTTGCTGTGAAGCTTGGGTTTTATGTTATATTGTTTAAATATGTTGGTGGTTGTTTAAGTTTAGTAGATTGCATTTTGTTTTCTCAGTTATTGTTTTGAAAATGCCATGATTATAGTGTACAAAGCTTTTCACTAGATCGTTTCTGTGCAGTTTTGTTTTTTATTGCTTGTATTCTGTCCTGGGCTTTTTATTGCATTTGTCTTTAAAAACAAATTTTAGCTTGAATATGGTGTGCTAGTCAGTGAAGATTCTGCTCACCTTTTAAACTATGATTTAAATGTGTTTCCATTCAATTGTCTGAGAGTTTTGATTCAGCCAGCTGCCCATTTAAGACATTATTGTTGGAAACATTCAAAAACAATCATAGAATTGTGGGAGACTCTTGCCATTCCTTCTGTGTGTTGCATGTTTCAAACTTCTTTTACTTCTTCAAGTTTCCTTATTTAAGAATATCACCTCAGAAGCAATTTTATAGCACCATCATTACTGTTGGGGTTGCAACACTTTCATTTGACATTTTATTATCAAAAATTTGTCTTGTCTTGTGATAGCTTATTTTGCTGCTTGTGTCGCCTAGAGTTATAAAAATTTGAAGGTAAAATCAGTTGGTACTGAAAACTTCTAAGACTTGTTTCCTCCTGTCGTTTTGTTTACTGTATTTCTTTCTCTGTAACATATCAAATATATATAGTATGTATGTTATTGCCTTTGCTAATCAATCATTAAGTGGCAATTGGCACACTGCTATATATTGCCCTGTAAGCAAGATTTCAAAGTCTGAATCTTACGGAACGACTGTCCAAGAGTGGTTGTGTTGAAATGTACATTGTAAATCTGTCGGTTTGGCTAATTACCGAAATTTATTGGGTCTATGCTATTTTTAACAATGTTTCAGAATTGCATCAGTAATTAAATAATGACAAAAGGAAATATTATGACTATTATTCTGTAGGTTTTATACACATCCTATAATGAAAGTCTTAAAATGATGTGGTCCGCTTTGAATGAGTTGTCGATGAAGAGAATAAGAGACGCAAGAGCAAAAATCCGTGTAATTGAACACATCAAGGGAAGTGGAGCGAGGCTGCTCAGAGTGAGCGCAGCCCTCTCTCCGCACCATCGTGATCGCATCGTGCTGCGTATATTTATGACATGCGCCCTGCATTAAAGGCTGCAGACTGATTCTGCACAGCGCTCAAGGGGTGTTTCTCTCTCCCACCCGATGGCCGTTCATCATGAGTGCGACAAGGACGGAGGTGCGTAAAGGCCCGTGCGGAGTCAGTCTACTGCTAACGCTAACCCACCCACCCATCCCTTCCTCCCCTTGCGTTCGGTCCGGCCTGTCTGCCGCCCTGCCGGCCCGGTGGCAGGAACAGGCCCAGGCTAGCCCTCCCAAACGCCCAACACAACACGCCCCACGGCCCCCCTCCAGGCGTCGGGGGTAGAGGAGCGTCTGCGTCTTCACTCCATCCATTCCATTCTCTCTCTCCAGTCGCCCGTCAGCCGGCAACCGTAACGGAAGGCGAGCGCAAGCAGGTGTGTGCTCAGTCCGGGATTCAGAGTGCGAGTATCGGGTGCTGCGCTGGGATATTTTTCGTCAGTTGGATTGGGCGGTCCCGTGACACATTTGACACACCCCAGTGCAAGCCCCTTGACGATTTCGTCGTGCGCATCCCTCAATGAAAATTGTTCACAGTGGATCACTTTTGGTAAGAGCCTCTTTGGCTCAAGTCCAACCCGGTGCGCGATGCGGTTTGACCCGTCCCGCGACCAGGATGGCACGCCACAGGCCAAAGGATTCTTTTGCTGTGCGCCGTAGCTGAGGATTAAAACTCATCACTATACTGATCAGCGCCGACCCTCTGCTCTGCTGGTGAGTGGTGAAGCTAGCTGTTGGTGATGTGTGTGAGGTGCCGTTTGTGCCTCGTGGTGGTGGTGATAGTGGTGGTGGGTACCCGCCCACCGCGCGAACCCAAGGGGCGCGGAATGATAAGGTGATAAAGACTCAGGACATTAAGGTAAAGTCACCCCCCCCCCCTCCCCCCCGGCTGAGCGGCAGCCAGGAGCAGCGGGTTCACATGCTCAGTCAGCGGCCTTATTTGTGTAAACACAACTCTCCCGCGCCGCGGCCGCTCTGTTGTTACCCCACCCCGCCTTAGAGATGAACTAGAGCATTAATGCAGATGACATGAACCTGCCCGGCTGGCGCTGGCCTGGCTCTCCCAGGATTGGATCCGCTCTCCACCATGGGGCGGCGGCGCCTCGGCCAACAGGCGCCACCTGCATCGCGTTGCTCCCTGAGTAAGTTGTTTATCCAAATACTCCAAAGGCACCCGACCCGCATTCCTCGCACAGCACTGTTTACTTTTGACACTTGTCGGTGTTCAACTTCAAATTGGTGCAGAACCACGGACCACGGACCACGGACCGTGGTGCAGACTTAATCGCTTTCTGCTGAACATTGAGCGCTGCCATTCGTCTTCTCATGGGACGGGGGAGGAGGGAGGGCTTATTGGGGCAGGGGGCAGGACCAAACAACTGCTAAATTGGCGGCGCTACATGTTTGCAAAGTGCAGGCAAGAGCCCCCCTCACTAACTCCCCAGCCGTCGCCGACTCGCCTCGTCATTTAATTTTTTTCTGCCCGTCTGTGGGGGCGGCGGCGGCGGCGCGGCGGCGGGCCGGCCTCCAATCGGGAGCAAGCCGGGCATTACTGCGAGCAGCTCGCCTCGCTTCCACTCGCCATGGGGAAGGATGCAAGAGCGCGACAGAGACAGAGGCGCAGTCAGCGGACTTAGACGTTTGTTCCAGCCCATGCCCCCCCCCCCCCGGGCCCCCATGCGCCCCTCTCCTCCACAAGCCCAATGCTCGGCCAGCGGACGTCGAAATTAGACCAATTAGGGAATCGGGGGAAAACTAACTGGAGTTACTCCGGCGGCTCGTCTTCCCCGTATTCTCCGTATGGACCGTGAAAGTCTGGCCTGCCGCGGAGCTAACGCCCTTTGAATGGGCCCGCGCTGGACATAGGTGTGCGGGGCGGAGCAGGGCGGGTGGCGGTGGGTGGGAACGGCGGCCGCGCTTTCCTCCATACGGCCGCCGCCGTGTAGTACACCGCGGCCGCGCATATGGGGTCAGCGAGGGCGTCCCGCTGGCGCGAACATTTGAATCTCACGCCCCCCTCGCGGAAGAGTTACGCCCTTGTTGTTGGCAACGATGCGAGCTTGGACAATGCCCGCGGCACCCGCGCGCGCGCTCTGGATATCCGACTGCTTTCCGGCACGTCCGGTCAAAGGTGAGGGCCCGGACTGTGCGCCGCGAGGAATGCACGGCAGTCGTTGCCTCGAGCAGAGTCTTTTTAATTAAAGAAAGAATCATGATGCCCCCTGTAGGGCCCGGACTTGAGCCCCGGCCGGCCTTGCCAGCCGTGGCCGTGCGCCCAGCGTGCGCCGCACCGCGCCGCCGGGGGCCCCCGGGGCTCGGCTCCGCCCGCACCGCCCCGGGGAAGGAAGGGGCGTGTCTCCCGCAGTCTTACTTTGCCTCCTCCTCGCGCACGATCCCCTGCTGCTGTTCAATACCATAAATCCAGACCAAGGGGCCGGGTCAAATCATTCGGTAGGAACCGGTGGTATGGGCACCTACAATCGTCTATACGCCCACCTCCTGGACGCTCGGCGCAGCTCGGCGAGTAGTCGATAAACCCGACGACGTCGTTGAAACCCTCATTGAAGTTGAAGCCCAAAAGATCGGAAGCCCCTCGAAGCAGAGGGTCCACCCACACGAGCTCAGGCCCGGGAAGTGGGAATGATACCGAGAAACCCCTGTAAAGCAAGCGCAGCCCGAAACACCGGCGCACACAAAATAGGGCTTCTTCTTTTCCTTCCTCTCCTCGTCATCTCCCTCTTTCCAATGCTCGCTCGTTGCGTGCGGTCTGAGGGCTGGGCGGGGCTTCGAAGGGCTGAGTGGTGTGTGTGTGTGTGCGCGTGCATGAGGGGGTGTAGAAGGTGTGTGTGTGTGTGTGTGTGTGTGTGCGTGTGCGTGTGTATCCCGGTATTCCTGCCATCCGTGACGACATTGGACGCACACATTCTCAGTCTCAGTCCCCGCTGGCCGGCCAGGTGTGGAAAAGGAGGGGGGG